ATTACAGAGAAGGCTGCACACTAGGATGCAGCTAGCAAATGTAAAATAAGGGTGAGGAAGTTTCTGGTTTATAGCAGGTCATGGGTACATTGCAGAGGAAATCAAAAGGTGTTTAGCAAATACCAAGCAGAACAAGGGATCCGGGCAAATGAGTCTTGCTCTTGCCAGAGGTTCCAGGATGCAAGATAAAAGGAAAACAATTTTGCAGACACTTGGCTTTCATTTTCCTTTTTCTTCACCCCCTGCCCTCAAATCCAGGGGTAGAAACATTAACAGCGTCTCGGCTAACCTTGTAATTGCACTATGATTGGAGTTTACAAAGAGGGCCGTTTTTTTTCTCGCTGTACATGCTATGCAGTTCAGATTTTAATTGTCTTCCTCATTCACATGATTATTAGCCACTTAATTCCATGACTTGCCATTAAATTCAACAATTATTCACTTTGCACCCACTCTGTGCTGAACACAGCTAAGTACTCCAGGAGGTAGAGAGATGGGTAATATGCCATCGGTGCCATCCCTTCATTCATTTATTTAATGGCTATATCTTTTAGTAGCTACTCTGCCAGGTACTGCTCTAAATATTAGAGATTAGAGCTGCAGCTGAGAATAACAGAGTCTTTAACCTTATGAGGTCTACAGTCTACTGACATAAATGTGTGATTTCATGGCCTGATCAGACGACTATACAAGTAAATGCAGCACAATGAAGACTGCAAGTAGCAAAGTAAGGCGCAAGCAGGTAACTGTGATGCTGTGAATAAGAAGATGAGATCACGTTTGTCTGGGAGTGATGGGAGGCTGCAGAGTGTGGTGCTGTTCAAATCGGCCTTGAGGAATGGATAAGAAGGGAAGAGAGAGCAAAGGATCTCCTGGCATGAACCAAGGATTGGAGTTTGGTTAGCAAGGGCTCCATCTGGGGACCAGTGGAGAGCCACTGTCTTGGCATAGGTTAGAGAGAAATGGGAGACGGGGCTGCAAAGGTTAGTGGGGGCCAAATCATGCAAACCCTCCGATGACTTCGGAAAAGGGAAGTAGCAAGACTTGAAAGAGTCCGTGGGATGGACTGGAAGGTGGAAGAGAGAATGTAGGGCAAGAGAGAAGAGCTTTCCAAACATTCTTTTGGCCAAATTTCATTCGTTAATGAGACTCCGTGGCTTGAATATTATCGATTTTTCTTTTGTGCACGTGGCTGTTGGCCTTTGCAGAAATAGTGCAGATTTGACTCTGTGGCCGAATAGTTAGTTATTAACAAACATACGTATCCATATTTTAATGGCTGAATAATATTCATACCCATCTATGTGTGATATATGGATCATTTCCTCATTCATTCATCAGTCAAATGACACTAAGGTTGTTTCCATATCTTGGATGTTGTGAATAAAGATGCAAAAAATGTGGGTGTGCAGATATCTCTTCAGGATACTGATTTCAGGTCCTTTGGCTACATACCCAGGGGTAGGATTGGTGAATTATCTGGTAGTTCAATTTTCAGTCTTGGAGTCACCATCATGCTGTTTTCCATAGGTGGTACCAATTGACATTCCCACCAACGGTGTATGAGGGTTCCCTTTTCTCCACATCCTTGCCAACATTTGTTACGTTGTCTTTTTGATAAAGGCTATTCTAACAGGTATGAGGTGATATATTACGGTGGTTTTAATTTGCGTTTTTTCTGATGATTAGTGAT